GCACCCTCTTGTGGAGATATGGTAGACTGTGAAACTGAAAACCCAAGGTCATAGGAGCTATATTTATAATTTTTTTCACTGGCCTTTGAATAATAACTACTTAGTACTGTAACATACTAGGTTTTTAAAATAGTCTAATTTCATTGTCACAATCCTGGAAGACAGCGATTATTGCTATTATTGTCTTAAATATAAGAATGATAACATCTACATTTTAGACATCCTGAAAATTCCTGTACTTTCTTCTGGAGGCTGGGTAGCTTAATTTCACAAGACCAAAAATTCTGACCCAACTCTTGAGCTCACAGGAAACCAAGAGTTAATGGACACTCCCTGAGGGGTAGAAGGTCAAATAAATACCTAAAAGAGCCTGAGTATAAACAGGAAATTAGTCATAACAACACAGATGGAACCTACATTAGCAAGACATCTCTGGGAAGCAAATGGGAATCCTTTTCATTCTTTATTTGATAAATAATATAAAGACCCAGTTTTCCTATAAGAACCTTACAAAATGAGTCATACTTTATACTAAGTTCTCTCTGCTAGGGAGTTTCTTTCTCTTGTTTTCCCATAAACTTTTGTGAGTCTGAGTATCTTTATTACTTAATATTTTGAAAATAGTGAGGAACCTGGGAACTGTGGACTAACACAGACCCACCGTCAGTGCTCCTGCATCATGATTCCTGCAGGATGAAGTATTCTCCACTTGCTTTCCCAAAGCTCATTATATAGGTAAGTTGCAGGATTTCAGATTTGTTAAAAGAAAGGTTTCAAACTTTGGGTTGTCTTTTATGCCCTATCAGAATGCATGGTTCTGGTTCATGTAACTTCTCTCCTAAGGGGTCTAGCCTTTGTGTTCCTTGAACCATGACAAAGTAAGTGCTTTTCAGATGTATCTTGGTTCTATTACTTCTCAAAACTCATTGCCAAGGGGGTATCCCACTACCCTCATAATTTTGCAAGAATCACTTTGCACCATTTGGGTTTCCTAAATACCAGAGAGTAGCAACTATAGCACTGTCCTCCTTCTGTTCATCGAATTGCTCAAGCAGGCACCAGTTAACAGCTACATTGTGAGACTTCACGGGGAGCTTGCCAGGCTTCGCCGTGCGGGTGGGATATACTCGGTAGCTTGCCAGGCTCTCTGAGAGGGAGAGAGGAATTGAACCCGGGTCAGCCGCGTGCAAGGCAAACGCCCTACCCACTGCGCTATTGGTAAGGCTCTCAATATTTAAAACACCCCAAGATGGCTGGTCCTCCAATAATGTTTTGTTTGGTCATTTCATTATATGTTGATGAGAAAACAATACTGGTCAAGTCTAAACAAAATGTCATTATTAGACCTACTTTCATTATAGGCCTATTATTTTAAAGTCATGGTTGGTTTCTAAGAACTTACCTAGGATCATAAGTGATGACTTTCTCAAATTACAATGAAAATGGCCAATACCAGTTTCCTTATAAAGTCTAATTCTTTCAGTTGGAATTCTGACAAATGCTAGTTTCTTTTCAATTAAAAAGAAAACAATTAAGTTCCTTTTGCAGTTAATTGCCCTTAAAAAAATGGTGAAAATCCTCTCAAGAAATACGTCGATTAGATTATTAAGCAGCACTTAGCGTCTGACTCACAAAGCACAGAGGTAATTACAGGTTAAAATTGAGTTGGGCCTCTTTTTAAATAAGAAACTGATTACAAAATCATAGTTTCATTAAAGAACATAAAAAATTTGATGGTGAATATCAATCATGTTACCACTCGTGGAGGTAACAGTGCTAATGCAAAAAGAAATTCAATTTGAATTAATTAGCATTAAAAATCTACCTATGCCACCCATGATTAAAGAACAGTGGTGCACATGCCTGGGTTTAAAACCCAAGCACAAAAATTTGTAAGTCTACAACTGTACCTCATGGTGTTTCACTAATAAAAATTTTTTTAAAAAGAGTGACCTAAAGTAAAAAAAAAAAAAAAAAAACTAACTTATTGTGAATTATTATATTTAAAGCAAAATACTTGTTGTTACTTCCATTGTTACATCACCTAAACTAGAGCATATACCATATGGTTAATTATTTTTATTCACTTCTCCTACAAACCTCTCATGTTGTTTTTCTGATAACAGGAGTTATCTGTGTAAGGTATAAAATTTGGAATATTTAGACATTGTTAGAAACTGTTTGGGGAAGATGGTGCACATGCCTGGCTTTAAAATTTCTTCTACTTGAGATCCCTTTTCACTGCAGAATTTTATTACCTAAGCTGTCACTGTCCTCCCGTTCATCGATTTCTCGAGCGGGCCCGGTAACATTGTGAGACTCGTTACTGTGTTCGGCATATCGAATACATCACAGTAGCTTGCCAGGCTTTGCCTTGAGGGCGAGATACTCTTGGTAGCTTGCCGGAGTCTCCAAGAGGGGCGGAGGAATCAAACTCAGGTCGGCTGTGTCAGCTGCGTGCAAGGCAAACACCCTACCCTTTGTGCTATCATTCCAGCCCACCATAAAGTATAAAAAGACTAATTTCACTTGTTTGTTCATTGCAGCACTCTTTACAGAATGTGGAAAAAACCTGAGTTCCCGAGAACAGATGACTGGTTAAAGAAACTTTGGTACATCTACACAATGGAGTACTATGTAGCTGTTAGAAAAGATGAAGTCATGAAATTTACATACAAGTGGTACTACATGGAAAGTATCATGCTAAGCGAAAGAAGTCAGAAAGAGAGGGATAGATATAGAAAGACTGCATTCATCTGGGGAACATAAAGTAACAAAATAGGAGACTAACACCCAAGAATAGCCGAGATTAGTACCAGGAGGTTTACTCCATGGCTTGGAGGACAGCCACACATGTTAGTAGAAAAAGCAGCACAGATAGAGAAGGGAGCACCAAATAAAGGGTGTTGGAAGGATCCTCCCAGGATGGGAGAAGCATGCTGAAAGTAGACTATAGACTGAACATGATTGCCACTCAATGCCTCTTTTGCAAACCACAACACCCAAAAGGAGAGAAAGGACAAAAGGGAATGCCCTACCACTGACGCAGGGTGAGATGTGGGGAATGGGGGACGGGAGGGATACTGGGATCCGTGGTGGTGGAAAATGGGCACTGGTAGAAGGAAGGGTATCTGATCATTGCATAATTAAAACCCAAGCACAAAAATTTATAAGTCTACAACTGTACCTCATGGTGTTTCACTAATAAAATTTTTTTTAAAAAGAGTGACCTAAAGTAAAAAAAAAAAACCTAACTTATTGTGAATTATTATATTTAAAGCAAAATACTTGTTACATTGTTACATCACCTAAACTAGAGCATATACCATATGGTTAATTATTTTTAATCACTTCCCCTACAAACCTCTCATGTTGTTTTTCTGATAACAGGAGTTATCTGTGTAAGGTATAAACTTTGGAATATTTAGACATTGTTAGAAACTGTTTGGGGAAGATGACTTTACTGGTTTATAATGCAATATATTGTCAGGTATGCTAGGAAAATATCTAATTGCCCACTTCACCTACTGGCTATCATTCTTGACAAAACTGGTATATGTTTAGATTTTTTGGCTTTTGGCTATATCCAGCCTTAGTTCTGGCTCTGCACTCAGAGATCACCCATTGAGGCTCAGAGGACCAGCGGGGATGCCAAGTTTTAACCTGTCTTACTCTCTAGCCCTCTTTCTGCATTTTTGGAACATTTGCCAACATAAAACTCTATTGTTTAATGACATTTGATAATTTTTTTTTGCTTTTTGGGTCACACCCAGGCGATGCTCAAGGATTACTCCTGGCCATGCTCGGGGACAATATGGGATGCTTGGTATCTAACCCAGCTCGGCTGCACAAGGCCCTAACTGCTGTACTATCGCTCCAGCCCCATTTCTAACTAAAATCATCCACCTGCTATATCCATTTTCATTTTGGTACTAAATTGATAAAATTTTATACCATGAAAAGTATTTAAGGAGTTAATACTAACTTTTCCTAAGCTTTTCACGAATCAAATGTATTAACCAAGTTGATCTAAATATCAATCAACAACTAGGTTGAACTAAGTATCAATCAAGTTGATCTGGGTAATGTAGCCTAACTCAAAGGAAAATTCAAGTCTTCTCCAATTCTTGTTTTTCTTCATAAATATGTATGTGAACCAAACTACCATGTCTACTGTCATTTATTGCTACTACATGAGATGACTCGATGTGAGACCACATGGCCTCAAGGTTTGAAATATTTAGTATTCCTTAGCTTACAAAAAAGCTTTTCCAATCCCTTGACCCTTTCATCAAAAGCTAGGAAAGTGTAAGCATTACAGTACATGCTTTTAACTTATGCCCTACAACTCATAAAAGTACATACGTTTTAGATATGTAGATATTTTTCTATTTTGTTTTTGGGCCACACCTGGTTGTGCTGAGCGTGGCCAGGACCATATGCAGAGTCCAGGGCTAAACTGACTCCTCATCAAACACTGACCCCTGTACCCATCTTCTCTGGCCCCATCTTTATAATTTATCACAAAAATACACTTGGGCTGCCATTGGAGTGGCATAATCTGTATCATATATAAACACCATTTGAAACTTCACCGTCACTGTCCTCCCTTTGTTTATCGATTTCCTTGAGCAGGCCTAGTAATGTCTCCATTGTGATACTTGTTAGTTTGGCATATCAAATACGTCACGGGTAGCTTGCCAGGCTTTGCTGTGCGGGCAAGATATTCAGTAGCTTGCTGGGTTCTCAGAGAGGGGCAGAAGAATCGAACCTGGGCTGGCTGGGTTGGCCCCGAGCAAGGCAAACGCCCTACCACTGTGCTATTGCTCCAGCCCCATGTAAGCTGTATACAAATCTTAGAAAGCCTGTATGAAAGCATGAAATATTATCTACTTAAATAATTCAAATAATAAACCAATGAAGAAACCATGTTTACTTCCTTTGCAATGAGGTTTATGGAAACTTTGAGATGTGGATGTTGGTAGTAACAGCAAGCACACTCAATATATAAACAGGTTTATTTATTCAATATAAATAACAACTAGCATTTCTAGTAAATCCTGCAATTTCAAAAATTAAAGTCAAAATAGAATTTTAAGATTATATACTCAATTCTTTTAGATGAATAGCTTCATTAGAATTTTTTCCATTGCCCAGATACTTTCTTACCCATTTCAAAACTGGTAAGTAGCCCTAGGGCAGTGTACTAAGTGGGAATGTTTTAGATAATTATTTCTGAACTTTCCCAGTTTTGAACCCCTTCTGACCTAATTTCCTATCCAGGGCCCCCAATTACATGATTTTCACCTATGGCCTTATTGGAATATCCTGGGGATCAGTTTAAAAATGCAGGTTTCTGTAACTGCAGAAGATAGACTTACCTTCTGGTGAATGTACTATAAGGGAAAGATATGTATACATATCTTGCACTACTCCGGTATTTGTATGCTTGATCTAACAGGCTAGTTTACAACTAGATTTTCATAAATATTAAAATGAGATATTTTCCCTGACCCTTTCCAAAATATTCTTCACACTATTTAATATAAAAATAAAACCAACCTACCAAACCTATGACTAGGCAAAAATGCTCCTCTCAAAACATAGAAATATTTTAATTTACATAGCATATTACAATGACACAAAAGTCTGCACATCATTCCTAGAATAATCAGTTTCTGTACAAAAATTTACAGATGTCCCATGTGTGATTTTCCCTCAGTGTGCTACAGAGTTCAGAGGTTCTGCTCGGATATTCCCCAAATCAAGGGCAGAATCTGTTTCTTCATCAATTTCTCCAATCACGGCACTGTAATATGAGAAAATAAAGTTAAAACAACATTAATCCTGAATAAAACTGAAAGAACACAGTAAAGAATAATTAAAGTGAAAACTAAACATCTTCATGATAGTGAAGGGCACTTAACTGATAAAAATATTCATAAAATAAAGTGAAGATGTGGCCAGAGACAGTGTAGTGAGTAAGGTATGTGCTAACCTGAGTTCAATCCCTGGCACCCCACAATGTCCCCCAAACCCTGCCAGGAGTCCCTGAACAATAAAGCAGAGTAAGCTCTGATCATAGCCAGGTGTGGCTCCCAAACCAAGAGTGGTAACAATATTTGAGGATGAAGTTATTTGACAACATTCGAAAACATCATTACACAACAGACTATGGTGATTGGATAAGGTTAAAGGAGACTCCAAACCTACAATTTCAACTCAGTCCAGAGTCTAAGAGGTGTTGGGGGGGGTGCGCAAAAGCACCACCAATTCACTACTAAATATGCAAATTATTTGAGAAACACCAACAAATGAAACCCAGCAATAGTATTTAGTATCAAAGTTTCCTTTCCATGATTTCTGTTTATCCAATTTAAATACAAGATAATCGAGTACATTCTACACACACACCAGTAGAACAGAGCTACCCAGAAAGTACTATTTCATGAGACTGACCAAGTTTTTCAATTTTATTAAGTTTTTCAATTCAACATTCATAGTTTTTAATTAATTTTACTAGTACCATGTAAGCTACCCATGGCATATCTGATATGCCAAATACAGTAACAATAACGGGCCTCATTCCCCTGACTCTGAAAGAGCCTCCAATTCGGCAGCGTTGGGAAAGACGAGTAAGGAGAGGCTGCTAAAATCTCAGGGCTGGGACGAATGGAGACGTTACTGGCACCCACTCGAGCAAATCGATGAACAATGAGACAAACAACAGGATGACAGTGCTGCAGTGCAGTACCATGATAATCAAGGGGCCCAATCTCCAGCTATAGGAACTATTACAACCAAATGAAAATACATAAAACATTACTTAAGAAATTGGCTAGCTACTGGGCTCAAATTAGTGTTTAATGAAAGCACATGCTACAAATACTTAAATACAGAAATCTGCCTGATTTTATTAGTGTCTGTAACCAAATTTATCCCTGAGGCCCAAGGTAAGGGGATCAGGGCCCATGAGTCACATGTTGCTGTGGCAGCCTTTTGGGCCAGTGCCTGCCATGGGTCGGGCAGGCACTGAATTTGACACAGCTGCAGCAAACTTTGCCTGCCATAAGCTACATAAGAGCCTCTAGGTCTCTAATAAAAGCAAAGGAACCAACTAGCAGTAAGTACTGTTTTCTAAACATAAAACCAAGATCCCATGTCAACCTTAAAATTCAGTCATTTAAAATCCTCACAGTAGGTAAGATTTAAAAATTGATTCTGTTGAGAAAAGACCAAATTTGCAATGTTTAATGATCTCAATGGAGTATAAGTACAAAATTCACCTTCAAGTCTATCAGTTATGCTTAGTGTGTCTCATGCAACTTTTAATTGTTTTAAAGCTTTAAGTTAGAGAGAAGCACAGGAAAGCATTTTAAAATCAGTTTTTACAAAACCCAAACATGAAGTGCTTTAATTAGATTCCTGGGCTACATCTATTGAGCTTCGTTTTTAACTATCACCTATAACTTCACGTACAATTTATCTCTAATACTTATCAGTATAAATTTGATAAAAAGTCAAATACTTTGGACACATAAAGGTGATAAGGTCACTGTCAGTCACTGTCCTTCCGTTGTTCATCAATTTGCTCAAGCGGGCCCAGTAACATTGTGAGACTTGTTACTGTATTTGGCAAAGTACACTTCTTAAAGCACTTGCTTTGTTTTCTATACCCTGCCCACCACAAAGAACATTTTATTGCTAATTTGTTTTTTGCTACCTTACCATCCATTTTCTAGTTAGTATACACCAGAAAAACGATTCAACAATCTCTGGCTTCTATGGCTGGACTGTAATACAGCAGCTATTCACTGTATGTGACTATTAAAATTACAAATGCATTAACAAAACTTATCAGTCACTTTTCAAGTACACAACATTTACACTGCTCGTTAACTACTACCATGCAGATATATAATGCAGAAATAAATTTTATACATATTGAATATCTTAAATATAGTTATACTATCTGTAGGCTTTTAATTTGCTACTAAAATCTCAAGTTGCTATACCTCTATGTCTCAATCGATCTAAAGTATAACCAGGAACAGCTTATGTATGACAATTATACTAGCCCTATTTCTTTCTTTTGCAAAAGAAAAACAATAGATTAGTACTTCCTTATAAATTCTGCTATGAGTTATTTGGAACTGCTCATACGAGATTTCAAACTGAGTGCTGTACCGCAGTTATTTTTGTTTCTCTAAAATTAGTGGGCTTTTAGAAGAACATTTAAAGAAAGCTCTAAAATGAAGTTTAAACCTGTTTTTAGAACCTATCAGACCACTTAAATATTAGAAATATGGTTAAGTATCAGCAAAGACACACGCATAAAAGAATCCATTGCTATTTTAAATAGATTTAGAAAAATATTTTTATTGAACAAATGAACACATGAATTCTTATATAACTACACATAGAGGACATTGAAATATTTTCAGGAAAACCTTTCCAAATAGCAGGGCAGCAGCACATGGTGCATATTTAACTTGCCTTAGTAAGATATTACTTACACATTGTCACCTCTTACGATGTACAACCCTAGTACCACTTGTTCCACTCCTTGTGAAGAGCTGAACACTCGTTCATGACTTTCATCCAAAATTAAATTAATGGTCTGGTCAAAACCTTTCAATGTTCCCTGGAAAGAAAAATTAAGAGAAAAAGATTATTTTAACATACTTCAGCGTGTAAATTCAGCCACACCATGTTACTTGCTGGGATACTCTGAGAACTACTTACTTGAATATGATAGGATAATATGAAATGCAATACTTGCTGCTCACATGCAAAGGACATATTCCAACCCTTTGAATTATCTTATTGGCCCAAAATATCTAAAGTATTCGAGACAAAACTTACCTGTTGTTTTTGAGGCAGTAAAAAAAAAAATCTCCAACACATATTTAATGAGTGTACAGTGTTGAGTTACAAGAGCACTTAAAGCAGAGGAACTTATTTCTGAGGAAATAATATAAAACTCTATACATGTAGTTCTGACAAGGATATCTAAGGATACAAACTAAACCAAACTGTAGGGGAAATAGATATGTTACGTGTAGCAATGTATCTATCACTGCATGCTATTTCAGCACTTGGTTTTATGCTAAGCATAGTACAATTAGCGCCTATCATTTGAGATATATTTACTCCTACTTTAAGACTAGCTCTGTAGTACCAAGCGATCCTACAGCGGTAGGGCGACTGCCTTGAACGTGCCGCACCCAGTTTGATCCACAGTGCACCATCAGGAGTAATTCTTAAATACAGTGCCAGGAGTAACCCCTGACCATTGCTGGGTGTGCAATCCCTCTTCCCTCACCTCCAAAAAAAGATTAGTTTCAGACTCAGGACAATAAACTACTTTGCCATTCTATGAAGAAGCAAATACAATTACCATTTCTCAGATATTCAAAGTCCCCACAAATATATACAAACACAAATATTAAGCCAACGTTTAAATGAGCATTTATTATTTGCCAGTGTTGTATGTCACGTGTATTCACTTAATCATCCCAATAACCCAGTAAAGCAGAACTCTAATCATCAGAAATAGAATTTGTTGTGACGGTTGTTTCTACAGAGCCAAATCCATGGCCTCACACACACAAGTGCTCCCTCACTCAGTTTAACTTCCTTTCACCCAACCCTATTCAGAACTTGAAGGAAATTATCATAGAAAGTTTTTATGACTCCTGTTTCAAATAAACTGGTCTACTACAACCTCGGATACCATCCAGGTTTCTGAAGAAACATCACTTTGTATTAGCTTTAACTCACTAAAATCTCTAAGTCCTGAAAATCAAAATATATAAAATCAGAAGTAATGTCCATAAGTAAAATTAAAAATAAATTTAGGTTTTGACAAAATAACTATCTCTAAATATTTGTTGTTTATAAAAGTCTTCTTGAAGAATTAAGATACTAAAGTATTTCCAAATGTCTGTATTTGACAACGTGCATAAGTTTCTAAGAAGCAAAAACAAAATTTAAAATGTTTGATGTCATGAGTGTCTGAACACGGAAATGAGGAAGAAATTTTAAAATGGGGCAAGGGGCAGATAGTATAGCTAGTTGGGACACTTTCTTGCATGCCAGCCAACCCTTGTTCAATCCCTGGCGTTATGTCCTGCCATATGGTCCTTTGAATACCTCTTGAGAGTAGAGACAGGAGTAAACCCTGCACACTGTTCCATGTAGCCCCAAAAAATCAAAATTAAAAATGAAAGAAATTTAAAACACAAACATCTGCATTTTTTTGTGGATAGGAACTCCTTCAAGTTAGACCCTACTAGCCTAGATGCCTTGCACGTCAATTACTCCCTGTTTACTAATGCAGAACATATGTATTGACAACAGCTTAACAAAGAGATCAAGAACGGAGTTATAGGAAAACTGCAAGAACAGGTTTTGCTGTGGTGCCCAAGCACAGGAATTCACAGGCTTTAGGCAAAATTTTTCGAACAGGCGCGTATCTGTAAACAGTGCCAAGCACTTACCACAATCATTCTCCCGTCAGACGTGATCACGGCAACCGTTCCTGTTTAGCAAGTCAAGGAAAGCAGTTCTTAGGAGCTGGACTCTCAAAACTTACCCACATCTGGGAGGGAAATGGTCTGAACAACTAGAAAAAGGTGGCAGAACTAAGGAAAAGCTTTTCGTTAGTCGCGACATGCACATATAAACATTTTAAATAGGTAATTCTTTGCGGTAATTACATTGTTTTAAGAGAAAGCAACCCTAAAAAAATAAAAAAAGAGGGGGGAAAAAAAGACTGACTTTGAACGACATATTGCTCCCTTTCTTCATCTGAAATTAGAATCTTAAGACTTTTACTGCAGGCACCCTTGCTGTGCTCCAGAGAGAGCTACACCAAGAAGAGTGCACTGCCGGGTGTGGCCCAAAACCTTTAAAATTAAAAAATAATAATAATAAAATTTAAACACTAACATTTGCACGGGCTACTTCGAACTTCCCTGGACCTCCCAATCTTGTTTGCCCTAACAAAAAAAAAAAAAAAAAAAGGAATGCGATTTCACGAAGTCAACGGTGGACCATCTAGTTAGGCAGTTCCTGCTCTCCTGAACCAAAAAGCAAAAGCCCATGGGACAGGACAAGCACGTGGTTTCACAAACCTGATCCTCTTGTTCTCAAACTTGGAGCTTCCACGGCCTAGGGCACTGGAAACGTCTCATCAAGAGCTCATCTCTAGTGGCACAGGAAAACTAGGCTAACTGCAAGACTGCGGGAGGGGGTAGACGGGGGGAGTGGGGGATGCAGAGATCGCCAGGACCAGGCCCCGGACGCTCCCCATCAGCCCAGCGCGCGCAGCCCGCGTCCCGCAGCGGCCGTGCGCCCCGAGCCGCCTCCGATCTCAACCCCTCGGGCTCTAGGCCACTGAGCGCAGAGGCCGCCTCGATGCCTACGAAAGCCCAGGGGACAACCAGAGGATACGGTTGATGTAGTTCTCCAGGGCAGAAGTCATAATTCGCGGACCGCCAGTCCCGGGACACGCAGCAACAACCGCAGAAGGAGCAGCAGCAGCGACACGAGAAGCTGAAAAGGCCCGCCAGCCCTCGTCAGCGGCTTCCGGCCGGCGGCAACTCTCGCGAGAGTCATCACGGCGCTAGGAAAAGGAAGCGGCCTGCCTTACCCGAGAGGCAAAGCGGTGGCGCGGGAGTGCACATGCGTAGTGTGTTCTGTATGTCGTAGCTCCTCCCCCTTCTCCTCTCTCCTCCTTCCCCCCCCTCCCCGCCCCCCCCGCCCCCCCGCCGGGCTGGGTTACAGTCTCGGAACCCGTGAAAGACGAAAGCAAGCGGGGTACGGGAAAAAGATGAAGTTCCCCGACAGTGGTGTGTGTTGCGGTGGAGGTGGGCAGGAAAGAGCCGAATCCACTAGGGGCAGTATGCTCAGAAAAATCAGGGAAGGAGAGGAAAGTTAAAAATAAAAAGTGTTGGGGGCCGGAGCAATAGTACAGCAGGTAGTGTTTGTCATGCACGTGGCTTACCCGGGTTCGATCCCCGGCACCCCCTCGGGTCCCCCAAGTGCTGCCAGGACCAATTCCTGAATGCAGAGCCAAGAGGTACCCCTAAGCATCGACGGGTGTGACCCCAAAATTAATTAATTTTAAAAAAAGTGTTTCCTTTGCAGGTGAAGCTGGACGACAAGTAGAGCTCACCTGCGAATGCATTGTAGGTGCGGGGAAGTGGGATTCTTTGTTTTCCCGCCACGTGGGCCCCAAATTAAACCAAAAGACGAACTAATTCGAGACAGTTTTGCTCACCCTATGTGGAAAATGCAAGGAGGAAAATGCAAATGGGCTTATTCTGCATTTCCTTAGGTGCCCTATTAATCATTTCCTTAAGAATCCAGACCTGGAGAAGTGAGTGTCTTAAGAGCAGAGAAACAATAATCTTATCTCCATAAGATCTCCCAAGTTAAAATATAAAAAAATTAAAAAACGGGCTCTTACATTGACCGTGATTGCAGATCCCAGATTGTATTCTAGTCCTGGCCCTACTAAGGAATCTTAAGGGGGGGTTGGTTTTCTAAGAGGATTTCATTGACTTTTGGGGTATTTTGAAATGTTACCGTGAAAAGTCACTCTTAATACACAGTGCCCCCCCCTAACTTCAAAGAACTCGAAGTCAGAAAAGGATCCATATACAAAATAGCGAAAGCTAGTCCTCCTCTTTACAGAATAGCCTCATGATTTGAGTTAGGTTTGTGACTTCCTGGCTGCTGAATTGTGGGTTTTAAATACCTTGAAAATTCAGGAGTTTTCTTTTAAGATTGAAGCATCTGTTTCCAGTAGTTTATTCACAAGATTACCTGTAGTTTATTTCCAAGTGGTTACAGTTCACTGAAATTTAGTCTGATCGGTTAGAAAATACACATACTCAGAAATTAGTGAGTGTTTTCTGGGGGAAGAAAAGTATGTTTCATAAGCAAAAAATTAAGTATGCCATGTGATTTACAAATGCTAGGCATTGAAGTAAAAGGAAACCAGAGTAGTGTCACTAGTCAGTATTAAAAAAAAAGTGTCACCTTTATCAAGTGTTAAAGAATGCAGTAACATTTTCAGAATTTTACTATTAAGTTAAGGTACTATATTTATCATGAGTACATTACATTCTAAACCTAATTATGTGTGTAATTGGCAGATAAATAATGGTTATATATGTATCTTCATATAATATCAAAAAGTCTCTTTGGTTTGAAATATTTTTATACACAATTTAAAGCTTCTGTATTTTGTATAGCCCCTAAGAATTGTAATGTGGTAAAAAAAAATGCAATCTTTACCATTTGGATATGAAAGTGTTAAAAAAAAAAGCATTTGTTAAGACAATGAGTTATATCTGGATGTGAATGTTAATATTTTTTATTTATTTAGATTCAGTTAGCCTGGTGATCTTGGGAGTGCATGGATGGAGAAAGTTAAGCATCTCAAAAAGGAAAATTCAATCTACAGCTGAGAAAAACAATATGTATAAACACCTGACAACTGAAACAAACATTAAGGAGTGAGATCTTAAGCTACATCAAAATCTCTAGAAATGGTTCTCATTCAATTATTTTATTTGGGGTGGGAGAGGTACATTGGGCAAAAATGACATTTAAATAATGTTCTTTCATTGTTAGAATTAAACCAAGATACACTTTGAGTATACATTTTATTATAATAGTTTTATGCCTAATTTGTGTATGTATTTGGTCCATTTCAGACTATTATGAGATCTTATTATCTCATTCCTACTTTGGACAAACTGGCAGGCTACCGAATGTAGCCTTCCCACACGGCAGAGTCTGGCAAACTCCCCGTGGCATACCCAATATGCCAAATACCAGTAACAATGATGGGGCTCATTCTCCTAAAGAGCCTTGAATATAATCTCAGGCTAGGATGAAGGAGACGTTACTGGGGCCTGCTCGAGGCAATCGACGATTAACAGGATGATTTGTGATTTGTGAAGACTAGCCTGGTAATTTCTGTATCTCCCAGTCACCTAAAGAATGCCTCTCTATCCGTAGCAATCCCTTTGCAGGTATCAAGAATAATAGTCAAGATTTATCAAATAATATAAGAGAAAGAAAGGGTCTTTCAAGGGCCAGAGAGGTAGTATGGGCTAAGGCAGTTGCCTTGCACACAGCTCACCTGAGTTTAATCCCTGGTACCTCAAATGGTCCTACAAACTTCCCTAGGAGTGACCATAACCTCAGAACTAAGGAGTGAGCCCTGAGCACAGCCAGGTGTGGTCCCTAAACCATTAAATAAATCAATAAAGGTTTGGTGAACTTGTTTCTCATATGAGGCCCACTGTCTTACTTTGTAAAGGCTAATGCAAGTTAATAAAATACACACTTTGAGGCTGGAGTGATAGCTCAATGGGCTAAGTATATGGTTACATTCCAAAGGCTTGATCTCCAAGCACTACTGGGAATGACTCCTGAGCACTGAACTTGGAGTAACCCTTATGTACTTCCAGATGTGACCCCCAAACCAAAGAAAAGTTAAACAAAACAAACAAAAGTAAATTATAATTGTATGTATTCTTGACATTTTTATTTTGAAAATAGCAATTGGTAATAAAGGTTTTTGGTTGTAATGTGGTATTAAAAATATTCACAAGTGAGAAAAATAGGTCTGTGTTGGAAACATAAGTTCTAGACAAAAGAGCAAAGGAACATCATCAGGATTTACAGATTGAGAAGTAGTTTTATACTTTGCACAAAATGTAGAGGTGCTGATATGGGAGGCTCTGACTCATTGTTTCATTTGCTTTTGTATCAAGATATAATGGAATTGCAAAATATACACTATCAAAATGGGACACATGGCAGACCTACCCCCCCCCCGCAAAAAAAAAAAAAAAGAGTAGGTGTCACACAATGAAAGATTATCATTTGAGAGCTGCATTCCTCCAGGTCTGAAATGATAGTGCAGTCAACCATGTTATTTGTATATTTTATAGCGAGATTATTTCTTGGTAGCAAAGGGCAATCCAGTGCTAGGAAAAATTAAGTTATATTCCAAACATTCTAAAATTTTTTCACCTATTGAAATCACATGGGAGATGACAAATAACTATACAAAAGTTCTCTAGTACAACAGATTGTTAATCTGGACTTTAAATAGAATTAACTTGTTCCTAATTTACTTATTTCCTCTTGTGATTTTATATTCACTTTAGCAGCAGGTAATTTTTGAGATAGGAAGGTCTTAGACCTCTGGTTTGCCTTAAGTGGTTCCTTGAATTCATAAGACTTGTGTCACAAGATTGTGGTCATCTAAATGTCTTGCTAGATCTTACACTTGCAGTGTGTTTTTTAAAAAATTAATTACAAAATAGGTTTTATCACTTGCACAAGCAGATTAAGAACATTATTTTAAACTTCTATACTTGCTGACTTTTTGTGTTTTGCCTACCAGGAAAGAGGAAAGACTAGTTTCTTTATGTGCTTGGATGGCAGTACTGGTAAAATTATTATAATTTTATTGTGATTTTGGGATGCCAAAATTGAAAATTAATATTTTGGCTTTCTTTGGGGGTGGGGTGGCTACACCTAGATGTGCTCAGAGCTTCATCATAGCTCTTTGCTCGGATATCATTCCCGGCAGTGGCCTGGCACCTTATGTGGTGCCAGGGATCAAATGAATCAGCTGCATGCAAGCCAATCTGTATACTATCTCTCTGGCTCTTGAAGTGGTATTGATGTCAAAAATTCACTTAGGTGTTTGGGATCTTCAACTTGAACTCATCGCTGAGTAGTATTATGTACTAGAAAAATAGGTTAATTTAGATTTGCAAGAGATACTATATTGCAATAAAGATCAAAGTTAGTTTATTGACATGCTTGGAGAAAAATACTAAGGTTAAACTCTGAGAGATTAAGCCTCTCGTGAATAATATGAGAAGGCATGGAAAGACTAATGGTATGGTGAGAGGGAAGTATAAAAATGAAATTGATAAAGACCACAAGAAAAATCATTAATGGAAAGCAAATATCTGAAATAATTAAAATACATATGTAATGGTTAAAAAAATAGTGTATGTGGGGAGAACATCAAAGATAGCCTTTACTTTTCCTGAGTTTTCCTTATGTAAGTCTTGTTATTGTTTTATGCCTAAAATATATTCTCCCTTATCATCAGATAGCCTTTACTGCTCCTAAGAGGTTTTTATTATGTAACCTTTTCTGATTTTTTTGGGGGGGGGGGGTTGTTGCGGTTTTTTTTTGTGTGCCTAAACTATAACTATTTTCCCTTCCCTGATTTTCAGACCATAAATGTATTTAACTTATGGGAAATCTAAAAATTTCCAAGTCCACATTTCTCATCTTTTATATAAGGAAACTGAATACCAAAGCTGAGTGATTTTCTGAAGGTCACTCATATGAGACAGAATCTATAAGGAAAACATCTCAGATTCTAGTTGAGTGCTTCTAACAATAATAATAAAGCAACTGCTTTAATCATAAGACAGATTTTGAGTCAATATCTATAGTCAATACATATCCATGAGTATGTTAATGTCTGCCTTTGTAGGTAGACCATGTATT